AAATCTGAGGGGCAGGAGGATTACCAGCCCCTGTCATGGTAATCCCAGCAGGAAGTAGAGCAGCTCTTCACTTTATTACCACACAAAGCTTTCACTACAACTAAATCCACACTAAATACTTGTTTAAAATGCCATGATATACTGTTCCCATACTTGGCTTTAATATTAGTCACAGGAATAATGTATTTAAATTAGCTAAAATTGGAAAACTAAAGCCCCCAGGCCCTACAAACACAGGCACAGCAACAATAAAAATTCCACAGCCTGCCAATCTCCAAAACATCCCTCGGCAAATGTGAAAGTTATTACCTGATCTTCTATCACTGAAACAGATAATTTGTGGTCTAGGATTAGAGCTGCTGTTACAGTATGAAAACACACAGGAGCATCAGTTATCCTTCTTACCTTCTGTCCTCTACTCTTAGCAGCTTCCCTGCTGTGGACAGTGTGTGTAGGGCAGGACAGGTCAGGCTGAGTCACTGCACAGGGAATTTGTCCGGTGGGAGTCAGGCAAGTGCCTCTTTTTCATCCATGGACCTCAGACCTACTGCAGCAGAGGCTGGATAACTCCTGCCCTAAGTATATCTGCCCCCCAGCAAGAGATCTTTCCCCCACGTTCATCTTTATCTTAGTGCAGAGCAGCAAATGGACCCTCCAGGCTCAGCAGAGTGAGTCCTGAGCTGGTGGAAGAAGGGAGCTGTCTCCTTTCAGTGCGTTCTCCTTTCTTTCAGCAAAGCAGCCAGGGAAAATGAAGAGCAACATCACTGCTGGCCTGAGGTTTTCAGCCCTGAAGCTGGAGGGGGTTTGTCTCAGAAGCCTCCTACAGCTCTCAGCCCCCTCATAGTGGTGGGGCTCAGCTCCAGCCTCGATCAGCCAATATCAACAATTTCCATCATATTAGCTTGCCCTTTGTTTGTGCTCACCCCCATCTGAGCTACTCCCTGCCAGGAGCCAGCAGTGTCCCCCTGCAACCTACCACACCCCAGGAAACTGGGTTTAAAGGGTCTCTGCTCTCTCCTTTACAACTTCTGAGCCACTTTTTGAGCTGCCAAAGAGCAGCTTAGCCACACGTAGTGCTCAGGCACTTCAGAATCTTTGTGATTTTCTTATTTTTTATTCAAGAGTAAAAAAGAATGAGCTGCCAGTATATGCAACCTCCTTGCTGATGAATCCTGATTTAAGAGCAGTGGGAGAAGTTTCTGCTTGCCCAGGAATCAGCTGCTGGTGATTTTAGGCTCTGTTGGAACAGCAAATCAAAGTCAGAGTCATTCCTAGCCAAACCTATGAGTTAGTGGCTGTTCTCCAGGTCCAAATTTCAGGCAGTAATCCTGGCTGGTGGAGCAAAGTGCAAAGTTGACAAGATGACAAAGCAGCTGAAGGAGACAGAACAGCTCCACTGTTGGCTCTCTGGTGTCCTCCACACCCAGACCTTGCAACAACGTCCAACTTCTCCCTGGAAACCCAGCTGGTGTCTGGAGGTGTCTGTCAGCTGTCCCGCACCCCAGCTGGCTGCTGCAGCTCAGCGTAACTCTTCTCCTCCACGTGCTTTGTCTGCTCCAGGAGCCACTGTCTCTCCTGGTCACTGACATCCAGCCTCAGGGTCACCTCCTGAAAAATGCTGTTCACAGCAACCTGCAGCACACACAGAGAAAGCAGCTCAAGCCCAGCCACAGGGCAAATGCTGCTCACATCCTCTGGGGAGATGGGCTGTTACTGCACCTCCTTAAAGTGAAGCTTTTTGAACATGCAGGTACTGGCTTCATTTTCCTGACCAATCTTAGCCTCAAACTTGGTGATCCCCAGTTTTCTCACTCCTGCAGGAGAAATCAGAGAGAGAGGCACTTCTATTACATGCCACATCTATAAAAGCACAAGACTCCTGTCCTGTGGGCCAGATGCATCCCTTGCTACCCTGCCTGTATTACTGGGAATGATGCGCTCCCAGACCTCAGCCCCCCACACTCCAGTTCGTGCACTGAGCCACCCTCACCGTAGGCCATCATCAGCAGAGTTGCCTCCTTGCCAAACCCTCTGCCACGGCAGCTGGGCTCTGAAAGAGACAGCACAGAGTCAGCATCCAGCTGGGGGAGACAAACCAGCCACAGCAGGCGCTTGTCAGAGGAGGCTGTGACCTGGGCACGCCATGGGCTGATCAGGGCTGAACAGCCATGGCAAAGCATGAGAATAAAAAGCTGATGCAGGAACATCAACACCTCTCTGCAGCACGCAGCCACAGTGACAGAGCCCCAGGCTGTGAAGCAGAACTTGACCTGCAATCATGATTTCGATCTCGCCCACAGTCGGGTCCTCAGTGTTGGTGAGGAAGAGATTCACATCCCCAACCATGGAGTTCTCCTCCTCCTGCCCAGGCCAGAGCTCCGAGTCCAGCACGATGAAGGTGCACTCTGGGGAAAACAAAAATGTGGCAGCATCTTCAGAGTGTGCTGATAATGATTCATAAATGACCAAAGAATGAAATTAAAGGTGCATAATGGACAGAGGAATGACAGTTTCCACATGTTAACAGCAAGGAAGAGTTAATAATTTGGCTTCCCACACCAGGTGACCAGGTGTGCCTGTTCCCACCTGCAGAAAGGAAAAAAATACTTGGAAAAACCTTTTGTGAGGGTGACACAGACACCAAGACTAGAGACAGCCTGTGGAAGAAGTGTGAAAACTTCCTTCCTATGTCTGAGGTCTCCTTGACTTGTCTTACTCAGCAGCAAGTTGGGGCAAAGAATTGTTTTGGTGCACAAGAGGCTGAGACTGAGTGATTCACCTGGTCCACATTATTGCCACTCTGAGTAAGGTTTTTTATGCCACCTAAGACAAATGTTCCAGACTGAGCTCTTTGCCAGCTTCAGTATTTTTCAGCTCACTAAATTTCTACCAGGCTTTTATGGGCAGTGATTCATTACCTGTAGGAGAGTCAAGGAACCAATTTAGTCAACACACCTCAACCAGGTGATCGTAAAGTTGTACAATTTATCAAGGAGAAATACAACCTTTGTTGTATTTCCTTCTGCCTGTTTTATATCCTTCTACCTGTTGTATATCCTTCTACCTTTTTGCAACGATCAGACCTGGGGAGTGTTGGCTGTGCAGGAGTGATGCCTAATGATTTTTAGCTCAGCACAAAATGCTGTGGGGAATGAATCACTACAGTCTTTGGGAAAACTGCATAAAAAAGACACAAACAGCTCGAGGAAGTGGATATTCTCCACTTCCCTGAATATATACCAGCTGTAATGAGAAAACCTGTTCAAGCTGCCATTGTAGAAAGTGTCACATCCCCTCTGGGTTACAGGAACTCACAGGGCACTCACAGCTCACTGAGAGTCCTTCCCAGAATGGAAAGGCCCTGCTCAGCACTCCCACCCTCGGTCAGAAAGCATTCCAGATGCTCACTGTCAGCGTCGTCCCGCCAGCTGCGCTGCATCTCGTACTCCTGCTCCAGGCTCAGGGGCTCGGAGGCCGTCAGGCGCTGCAGCTCCTCCGACTGCATCCACTCGTGGTACCTGGCAATGGAGCCGGCCCCACATCACTGCCCCACTGCAGCACTCAGGAGGATCCCTCCCAGTGCTCCAGAGGTCAGCCCTGGAAACACCAGCCCGGCTTTTGTGGAATGTATCTACAAGCCTCTGTCCTTTATGGAACACAATGCCCTCTGGAAATTTAGGAAGTTTGCCTGTCCTATGGCTTTGTCTGGAGTGCCCAATGCACACCTGATGTTTTGGGAGTTTTGGTGCATTTCATCCCGAGCAACACTGACACAGCACCTCCTGGACACTGACAAAACACTAACGCTGCTCTCTTTGTGCTGATTTACTTTACAAACTGTTGGCATGCCTAATTCATCAACCATCCACCTGGCTTTACACGCTGAAGCTTTGCTCTTGCACCGTCACCGGGGAAAGGCCTCGGTGAACACAAGAACTGCGGCGTTCCCTCAGAGCCGGGATCTCCCAGCGGCACAGGTGAGGCTCTGACAGCAGAGCTGGCACCGAGCTCAGCGTGACAGGGACGGCGCTGCTACCCCAGGGCACTGAGGGTGAATCGCTGGCTGACCCCGGGGGAAGCGGGCCCTGTCCCGACCCAGCACTGTCCGCAAAGGGAGGAGGGGAATCGGACCGTGCAGGAGCGTCCGAGGAGGGCACGGGCACGGGCACGTACCGGGGCACGTGCGCGGCGGTGTAGGGCACCAGCGTCACCTTCTTGCCCCGCAGCACCGTGTCCTGGTTAATCTTCATGGCCTCTGCACTGAGGGAGAGACGCGGCACCCCGCTCCGTGTTCCCGGCGAGGCCAAGGGATGGGGCAACGCGGCCTGGCGCCTTTCGGGAGCGAGAGGCGGCTCTCAGAGTGCGGATCGCCCAGATCGCACCAATGCGGCCGCATTAACAGGCCCGAATCCTTGCTGCGACATCCCGACGGGACCCCGGGGCTGGGCAGGGGACCCGGGACCGACGGGAACCGGCACCGGGAGCTCACGCGCGCCCGCCCTACGGCCTCCCACGCATGCGCACAGACCCCGGGGCCGCCCCGCTACGGAATGTGTGGCGTCATCGCTCCGCCCCGTGTGACCCCGCCCCCTTCGTGCCGCGCCCCCGCCCCGCCTCTCCACGACTCCACCCCCATTGCCCCGCCCATGTCCCTCGAGGCCCCGCCTCTCCCTCTCCCCCTGTCCTTCTGTGGCCCAATCACGATCGGTGCCTTCCCCCTGTCCCCGCCCCTGCTCCATCCCCGCCCCGCTTCTGCCGCTCCTGGACACGCCCTTTCCTGCCACGGCCACGCCCCTTTCTGCCCCACCCCATTTTACATGCCACGCCCCCTCCTGGGCCGCGCCCATTCGTGCTCACGCCCCTTGGGGCTCCGCCCCGTCCCTCCCATGCCCCGCCCCCTGCCCTCACCTAATCACGATCGCCGCCTTCACCCCGCCCCGCCCCGCGAGCCTGTCACGTGCGCGGAAGGCACAGCGCTGGGGCAGCGCGTGCGCCGTGAGTGCCCCCGCGCGGCCGGGGGCGGGGCCGCCGGCACGAGCCGCTGGCGCTGGTGAGGGGCCGGGGGTCGCGCGGGGCCCGGGCGGGACGCGGCCCTCAGAGGGGCCATGGGGCGGCCCTGAGCGGGGACAGCGTGCGGCGAGCGCCGGGAGGGGCTCGACGGGCGGGGACAGGCCTGGGGAGGGTCCTGCTGCGGGCCGGGGTGTGCACCGGAGCGGCGGGACCCGGGCCTGGGGAGAACGCCCCGGGGTGAGGGGGGGGCTGCCGGAGTTGTCGGCGCTCTGTGGGGCCGGGGGTGTTCCCCCGGAGGGGGCAGGGGGTGCGAGCAGCGTTCCGCCTGTGGTGCAGGCCGGGGGAGGGCGGGGGGCCCTGGTGCCCTCGGGGGTTCCTGGTGCCCTCGGGGCTCCCGGTGTCGGTTCCCCCGCCCGGGCTGGCGCCTGCACGGGGACACGCTGGCCCCGGCCCGGGGCGTCCGTTGTCTTTCTGCTGGCTCCGTGTTTACCAAGCTTGGCTTCAGTGTTTGGAGCCGAGGTTTGCTGTAAAAGGCGGTGGTTGATCTCTCCTTCTGAGGCTGGTCAGTTGTGACCTCAGCGAGTTACGCTGCCTGATCCTTTCCTGGCATTCACCGTGGGTGTACAAGCTTCTAACTGGGCTTTGTAGTGGAGCTCAGCTTGTGCTGATGGTTTGTCCCAGCTGGTGGGGCTGAGTGGGAGCACACGTAGAAGTGTGAAGCCCTTAATGCAATTATGGCTAATTATTGACACAGAAACCTTCCAGAAGGCTTCAGTTCCTCCATACACGTCTAGATTTTTAGAAACAATGTAAAGCTTCCCAGAAACTTCTGCTTCGGAAATGTTGGTGCATGAAAAGCATCTTGGTGTGTCTTTAATAGGTCCAATATTTTAATTTGTCTACTTATTTCTGTACTTGAATTTAGGAGGAGAGACTTCAGGCTGGTTTTTTGATTTGTGGGAGGCACATGTTTGCAAGGAGTAGTAGCTGCATGAGAAGCAGCAGTTTGAGATCATCTGCAAGGCAGTAATTTTTCCTCTTGAGGTTTTAGTTGTGTGGAACAGCCCCTCTGGCTGTTTGGAGAAGATGAAGTTTGGTCATCACGTGCTGTGAAAGGGCAGGGCCTTTTGGTTGCTTTTAAACCAGTTTTAACAGGTATGAAAACTTCTCACAGGGTACTGAACCAAGTGGGGTCTGTCTGAAGGGCAAGATCCTGCTGAAATCTGTTCAAACACCAGAAAACTGATGTGCCAAAGCTAACTTGTGAGTTCTTCCTTTTTCCAGCAAAGGTAACACAGTGTTATGATATTTCCCTAGGTTAAAGGTGGCAGAAGTTGCAAACACCCTTCCACAAACACCCTTCTGGCTTTGCTCTGGGCTTCCCCTCCCTCTCCAGGATGGCAGGTGGCATCACTGACACCGGAGAGCTTTACTCTCCCTATGTAAGTTCTGCTCCTTGTGGGTTTGGTCACAAGATTTTTTTCAAAATCCTCCTTCCTCAGCATTTTGCTTGCAAATCCTACTTCCTCATGGATATAACCTCAGCATTTCAGGAGATTATGGGGGTCAAAGTGTTAGTGTTTGTAGTTATATGGGGTTTTTTGACATCACAGGTGATTTTTCATAAGGGAAAGGGATGATGTGTGCTTGAAGTATAGATCTAAAAGTGCTAGAAAGAGCTTCATGTCCCATACCAGCTCTTCATCCTTCTGCCCACTATCTTACATTTTGTTAATGTTTTCATCAACCCAAATTGTCATTGGAATAGACAGGGGGGACTTGGACATTGAAACTACTCCACTTTCTTACTTTTTGTTGCTTTATGTAAACATTTTCCCCTGAATTGCTCAAAGTTTACTTAGCTGCAGCTGTTGCAGTAATTTGTTTTCTACCACTTCAGTGGAAGTGAGTAATTTAGAGGTTTCTTCCCTGTAATGTGGTGTCCTGTGCAACTGCAGAGCCAATTACTGCTTTCCTATATTACTGGAAATACCGGTTTTCATAGCCACAAGTCTTCACAAAATGTCAGCTTTTAAAAACACCACTTTGTAAACACTTTTTTTTTTTTTTTAAGTCAACTCAATAAATTTAGAACCAGCCCTGAAACCTGTGTGTTGGATTTTAAATGCTTTAAAATTTTCATCCCCCTGTTAATGATTCAATGTAGGAGGAGTGGATATTAGGCTGCAGAAATAGGTCACAGCTGAGAAAATGGAGAAGACATTAACTGGGATGTCTGGACCCTCAAGGATTAGTGTCACCTGCTCTTACATTGTTATGCTGGTGCTGCATGAATTTCCTGGAGCAATTTCAAAGGCTGAGGCTCTCCTCTTTCCCTGAAGATGTCTAACCTGGCTGAACATTCCAGGCACCATTCTCATTTCTGCTTGACCAAAGGAGAATCATGGCTCTGGGATGCTCAGCAAAAGATGAATTTGCTGTGTTTATGCCAGTGAGTGCTCTCAGGGTCACTGGGGAATTGTTCTCCTGATGTTAATTGCTCCACACCCAGAAAAGTCTGCTCATACTCTGCTCTTTACTGGTTTTCCTCTGGAGGGACTCTGACCTATATTATAAAAAAGCCCCACTAAAGCACAACAACTTTGGCAGCTTTTGATCTTTAAGTGAGCTAAATTCTTAGCTTGGGGGTCCTGTCCACGTGCAGAGTTCTCTTTTGTCTCTGGACACTGAAAAAGCTCATTGCCAGAGAAGATAAAATTCTTTCCCTTCAGGAAGTAAAATCCCTTCTTCACAATATGCTCAGCTTCTTACTGGTAAAATAGCAAGCAGGCTTTGAATTAGAATTCTTTTTGGATATTTCCTGCTTGACTGAGAATAAAAGGTCCTGAAAGGTACATAGCCATAACTGCTTGTGTTCAGGTCAGATAAAAAGGAGAGACCCCAACCCACAGCACAGACCTTCTGGTAGAAGGCAGTGATTTGAAAACAAACAAATCTCATGTACTTTATAACTTTACAAGCTAGAGAGAAAAAATATCATTTAAAATAATTAGAAAAAGAGAGGGGAATAGCTGTTTCTCCAGAAATGTGCTGACACCTACATTGCTATCTTTGGAGTTCAGTCCCTTCCTCCAGGTATTTCTCACATGGACTGGTTCCCACCCTGCTGGCTCAGGGATTGCCCTGTCCATTTAAATCAGGGTGCATGTGAGGTGTTTTGGATGATTCCTGCCCACTCTGATGCTGGATCATGTGGCTGATTACAGGTTGGCCTGGTGTACATGTTCAACCTCATTGTTGGAACAGGAGCCCTGACCATGCCCAAGGCCTTTGCCACAGCAGGGTGGCTCGTCAGCCTCGTCCTCCTGATGTTCCTGGGGTTTATGAGGTAGGATGTGTGTGTGTTTCTGTCTGTCTGTCTGTCTCTTTAGGGGACTGGGAGGTTCAGCTGGGTGAGGACAGTGTAAAGACTTTGGCTGTTTTGCTGTGTGCTCTGTCCCTCTGCTCCTTGAGTGTTGATTTCTGCAGTGGTGTTGCCTGAGTTGGAAGGATGCACTTCCTGACTCTCTGGTACATCCCATTTCCTGACTGATGGGAAGGACTTTTCCTCCAGTCCAGAGTCTTGTGGGACCTTTATCCCCTCTACCTTTCTGACATTGTCCTCACTGTGGATACATTCCATGCTTGCCTCTGTCACAGATCAGTTCCCCAAACACCAACCAGGTCTCAGGTGGCACAGGGTCAAGTCTTTGCTTTGTGACTTGCAGATGTGTAAGCTTTCTCTTGGCTTCTGACAATGCTTTCACAGCTGAAAGAGTGTCAGGAACACGAATTCCTGTATAGCCAGGCCTGTCTTACCCCCTTCAGACCTTTGCTGCTCAAGACTCTGGAGATGGTCTCCTGTTTGTCACACTGGTTCACTGTGAGCTGCTGCCCAGGTACCTCCCTGCTGGAGCAGCAGGTGGAGCTGAAGGCTGTGGATACAGCACTGATTGCTGAGGAGTTGCTGCTACAATTGCCATCTTCTGGTGGGCTGGGAATCCCTGCTTGCTTCTTGCTTGGCTTTAAAATAAAATAAAACAAAACAAAATTCCCTCCTGCCATTTGTACAAATGGACTTTTGAAGTGCCAGCCTTTTCAGTAAGCAGTTCTGCCAGCCTGAATGTGCCTTTGATTTGGGGGCAGAGCTTTTGGGATCTGTTCTGTGCTGCTGTGCAGGGAGACTGTATGGTCAAATGCTTGTGACTGCCCCACCTCAGAGCTGGGTGCTGCAAAGGCTTGGTAAAATGATATCTGTGGGGTTTCCAATAACTGGGAGCTTTAGGAGAAATTCCTTTTAGCTATGTTAGTTTAAAAGCATAAATTCAACATATGGAATTCAGCACCAGCAGACAATCCTTCAAGGTCAGCAGGAGAGCACAAACCTCCGAATCTGTGTTCCAGAACTGCACTGGATTAAGCTCAGAGGGCACAGCTCAAAGTGCTGCATGCCTTGGGAGCTCTGTTGCTTTTGTTCTGGTACTTGGGACTTCCTCATGCCCACTGGGCACCTTTGGCACAGGAAAAGCCTGGGCAGAAATTGCTACACAGGCCTCAGCACTTCCTTTTATTCTTGCAAAACTCATCTCTTACTTGAACTCAATAGGCAAGTCCAGTTCCTGAAGTAGTGAGAAACCACTTTAAAGCCTTGAATAAGATTGATTTGAGGGGGTTTTAAAATTTATTGATTAATATTACAGGACTGGTTTTAGCTGAGATAATGATATTCATTCCATCAGTGTCTCCCTGGACAGCTTTTCCACTGGCCTCCAGCATTTGCCTGCATGCGTTATGTGCTCCTTCTTGTATTGCTGCTTTGCTTCTGATGCCATGTGGAAGATTCTTTAAGGGACCAGAGTATCTTTGCTATGAGCTTCAGAGAAGAACTAACTGGGTTTGTCATAGGTTCTAAAAAGGGGAAGGAAACTTGCTTTCTAAGAAAGATCAAAGTTCTCTTGCTGTCTTCAACCCACAGGAACACCAGGAATGTGCCTTCCAAATATCTAAAATGTCTTATTATATCTGAAGGTGTGTTGTATTGTGGTCTGCTTGAACACCTGAATCTCAAGAGCAGAAGGAAGCAATAAACTGAGATGAAACACTGTCAAAATAGTGTGTGGGGAACTGGCAAAAGGATTGTTTTGGTTTGTTTGTTTTCTCCTACAAACAGATGGGAATTTTTCTCCATCTCTCTTCAGTGACAGTTCTTGACTATTACTGATGATATCAATTGAATTCTTCTCTCTGTAGCTATATGACTACAACCTTTGTGGTGGAAGCCATGGCTGCTGCAAATGCCCAGCTGAGATGGAAGAGAATGGAAAAACGCAAGGTTTGTGTGGGGTTTCATTTTCCTTTTCCTCCCGTTGTTTTGTCACGTAGGATTTTCCTGGCATTCCTCTGCATCTTTGCCTTGTCTTGTTACTAACTCTAAGGAAATAAATTTCGACTGTACTTAACTTTGCCAAATAAAATATAGCTGTTAGTTCCCTGTGGGGTTGCTCATTAAAGACAGGATTTTCTGCTCCTGCTTTGAAAAATCTCTTGTGCTGTTCACATTTCTTACTGATCACGCTCTCCTTGCCCAGAAACGCTGCTCAGTGAATGTGGAGAGGTGGCAGCCAATATATTGGTGCTATTTGGAGTGTGCTGAGGACTATAAATCCTTGCTGATCTCAGGTCATTTAACTGGGACAGGCTGGGATGTCCTTGCTGTTGCTTGGGCAGTATCCCAGGTTGTGGACAGTTCTGAATTATGTCCTTGCTGTGAAACTTACTTGTGGCTTTACTGGATCAGAGGGAGGCATAATTGTTTGCACTGATTTAGACCCCTGGCTTGGTGTTAGTGGGATGGAGTTAGGAACTAGACCTGCTTGTGCTAGCCAAATATGCTTGGGTTATTTTTTTTCTCCCAGTTCTGCAACACTGCAGATCTTCCTGAAGTTTCTAACTTCCTTGTGCCACTTATCATGACATGAACTGGGCAGTGTTGCTGTGTGTGTGTACATGTCACTCACTTCAGCCTGCTCTGCTGGTGTCCTCCTCTGCCCTCCACAGCATCCTCTGGGTTCCCTGGTATTGCCTTTCCTTGCATGTCCTCCCCTCCTGCTCGGGACCTTCCTTTGAGTGTCTGGAAGTAACCATGACATGGGGTGGCACAGCCTGTACTGTGGGTAGCAGATATCTCAGCAGTGATCTCTTCATCCAGGAGGATGATGAAGATGAGGATTCTTCCTCTGGAGTGTCTGACAGTGATGTTCTCCTCCACGATGGCTACGAGCGAGCAGAGACACGGCCTATCCTGTCAGTTCGTGAGTACCCAGCTCATGCTTTCACTGCTGTGAGGCCTCTTCTCTGCAGACACTGTTCCAGTGGGCTCCTCTGGCCATTTCACCCTTAGTTCCACATGCTCTCATCCCAAAGTCCTCAGCACTTGTAAGATAAGACTCATTGAGAATTCAGTTTGCCTTCTGCAGCCTGATAAAGATCTTTTCCCTCTACGTCAATGAGATGAGAACATCTTATTTTCTGAACACCTTAGACTAGCTTCAGCAGAGTAATTGGCCCAGTGACTCTGCAGCTGTGGAGTTGTACATACTGTCCTTCAAAGTGCTTCAAACTAGAGGTTCCCAAGTATCCAGGTAACCTGGCCTTAGGGCTTATTGGAGGCACTGGTTGAAACCCTTCTTGCATTTTAACTTGCAGAGAGACGTGGCTCAGCCAATATCTTTGAAATCACTGAGAGGGTGGAAATGGGCCAGATGGCCTCCATGTTCTTCAATAAAGGTAAGTGATGAACATTTTCCAAAGTCCCTTTGGGTGCTCCTGCATGTTTTGTGTATAGCTGTTCTGTAAGTTTGCATGCTTCTCAGTGTGGGTTTGCATCTGAAGTTTGTGATGATTCCACCCAGATGTGCTGTTCCTTCTCACTGTGGACTATATTCATCCTCCTGTGTGGTGTTTGTGTAAGGTATTTATGGGCCAGGTGGGCCAGAACCTGCTGTGGTGGGCATGGAACCAGCAAAACATGCAGGTTATGGGAGCAGCCTTGATAAAGGCAAGTGCCTTTTCTGACTGCAGTTCACCTGCCTCTGAAATGCATGTGTCCTCTGTCATCTCCACTTTCTGAGGCAGTAGGGCCCAGCTGTAATGTTTTCCAGTTGCATTTTGGTTGTAGCATTTGAGAATAAAGCATTCAGGCTTCTCTGAGCCTTGTAGATAGCAGTCTGAAGGAAAGAGACTTCTGATAGGAGCTTCTAGGAATTGTCTGCGTCTGGGGAATTATTGAGACAGCTGGGACACAAACTGCTGAAGAGGTCCCTGCTGAGGATGTGCTAGGCAGCTGGCTTGTCTTTTTGCTTTTAAATGTCTTTTGTATGCCAGGGAACAAACTTGTAACCCTGCTCTAATAAAGCCCCATCCATTGCTGCGTGTGATAGAAATGCAAACCACAGTGATGAAGTTTCTGAAACCTGGAAAGCAGGACAATGAAATGCTGTGCAGAGCCAGAACATCATCAGACACCATGGCTGTGCAGTTTTGAGCCTGTCAGGCCCCATTTTTTGTGGAAAGTGATGTTTTCCCTTGTTCACTGGCTTGCAAAGAGGTAATGGAAGGCTGGGTTTTTTCCACTACATTACATCAGGGTTGTACCAGTGTAAAGCTGTTGCCTCTGAAGGACAGCTGGGCTTAAGGAGTGAATATTCTTTGAACTTTATTTTTGGCTTTTAAAGTTAATTGAAAAAACTTTTAAATTTTCCTGCATGCCTCTTCTGGGATTTTGTAGATTTGAATCACTTAGGACTATCAAAATAATCCACCTTGGACTAGGCTGCCACATTTTTAGTCAGAGAAGTGAAGTGTGTCAGAAACATCTTGTTCCTGGTTTTGCCTGTACCACTGAGTTGTTATGACCTGAGGCAAATTTTCTTGCTTGTTTGCTCTGCTGTGTGTAAAATATGGTGAACACATCCCTGTCTCTTGATGCTCCTCTGAGGAGTAATATTTGAGAAGTGCTTTGAGAGCAATCATGTAACAGGGTTTAGCTGTATTGCTGAGGATTGGGCTGTGGAGGATGGGGATCACAGGAGTCAGAGCATTCTCATTGAGTTTCAGGAGGCCCCTTCTCTGCAAGTGCTTCATAGGGGAGCTGGAAAGGACCCCCAGCAGCCAGGCAGGTTCTGGGCCTCTCTGGTGCTCAGCCAGTAGAGGGTGCTGGAATCTGTGTCCTCTCTCCATCAGCACGGATGGAGCTTCCGAGCAAAGTGAAATAAACTGCTTAGTACTCTTAAATCTTAATCCCGCTTCTTAATGTTTCTTTAGCCAGAGTTATCTGATTTCTGTGTTAGGGATCCTCCCCAGGGTCTGCTCAGCCCATCACATGGGATGAATCCATCTGCAAGAAGGTGGCTGGAGCAGCTGCAGGCCATGGCCTGACCATACTTGTGACTTCCAGATGGGGTGAGGTGCCCACAGCAAAGGACCTGGGGCAGGTGTAATTCATGTGCTGCTTTCCCTGTGTCAGAGCTCAGCAGTGAGGCTGCATCCCTGTCACTGGTTCAGAGACACCCTCTGTGAGGCTCCATCCCTGTCACTGGTTCAGAGACACCCTCTGTGAGGCTCCATCCCTGTCACTGGTTCAGAGACACCCTCTGTGGGGCTGCATCCCTGTCACTGGTTCAGAGACACCCTCTGTGAGACTCCATCCCTGTCACTGGTTCAGAGACACCCCAGTGGCTGCAGGGACAGACAGGTGAAGGACCTCCCTCTGCAGGTCCCTGCTGAGGTGCTCCCTCCCCACAGCTGCACAGAAAGGCCTTCAGCAAGGGCAGCAGCTCAGTGACCACTTAGTGCTGAGAAACTGGGCCACACTGGGCAATTCCCAGCTCCAAGCACCAGCCTGTGAGGTTTCACAGCTGGCAAATGTCTGGGTGTTTACTGATGATATACAATGTATGGATCCAAACCCAAGGTGATGGAGGGCTTTGCAGCCTCCAGAGGGAAGGCTGATGAAAGCTGTGCAGTAGACCTCAAACCCCCTGATTTCTAGTGAGTTCTCTGCTCCTTTCCCTTGACTGATTTTTATTTTCAACAATCTGACAGGAGTTGAATCTGCAGTCCTAGGAGGTAAGCTGGGGATAAATCTCAATTTCAGATTGTCTGCTTTCTTAAAGGGAGCTGACTTAGGTTTAGGCTGTGAAGAGACTGTGTGCTCTTTTGAAAGAGCTGGCTCTGAAAAACTACTTTTTTTTCTTGATTTGATTTTTTTACTTTTTAATGTTGGGTGCTTTCTTCTGGAACTGAGCAGTCATTTATTGCAGTAATAGATTCTAGGCACATCTATCACGCTGTTTCCTCACAGGAAGTAATTGCTTTTTTTTTTTTTCACCTCGTTTTGTGCCAAGTAATGAAAGTATTGATCAGGGAGGGTCAGCAGCAGTTTATAAAATAACTGATGTTAAAGTCTTCCTGTCTTGGAGAGGAGTGTCACCTGTGCTTCCTGCAGACAGAGAGGTCTGCATTGGAATGGGGGTGCTGCTGAGGCTGAGCTGGTCATGTCAGCTTTATTTTGTGTGTGGGGAGGGGTAGCTGAGTCCTGAGACCAGTCACAGATCCCAAAACAGAATATCTGTCTGAGTCTGTGTAGCCCTCAGCTTTGTGTCTCTGCAGCTTCTGTCCTATAATAGGTATTTTTTAAAACCTTCAACCCTTTTTAATGGGAAATTGGAAAAGACTGGTTGGTAGTTTGTTGCTGTCTCCAAAACAACACAGAGACTCCCTAACTGTGAAGACAGAGCAAGATCTTTCACAGAGCAAGAAAACAATGGGAGAGCTATATGGAATGATCTGACAATTTCTGTAGCAAGTCCATTTGTCTCCAGGAACAACTCTAGAGCACTGATTTAGTGTGCTACTGTACAGAAGCAGGGCAGCTGATACAGCTAAGCAGGCTCAGCATATAGAATAATTCATTTAAACAAAGGAGAATGCCTAATCATGTTTCCTAACATCCAGAGATCCAGGGGCAGTATGATAGCAGAACATGGCAAAGCTTTGGGGCACTGTAGGAATGAGTCTTCAGTCCTGCAGCAGTGCTGTCCTTGTTTGATAGTTGTCACAGCTGTGAGTGTGAGGTTTGCTCAAGCTGCACTGGGATTAAGCATCAGGTGGCATCACAACTTGAAACTATGGGCAGGTTTCTTGAGCTGTTTTCCTTCAAAGTCAACTTCCTAAATTAAATAAATGTGAGGCTTTTATTCTGTAATTCATCTGACTCTGAAATAAAATATCTTCCAACTTGTTGGTGAGATTTATACAGACTTGCTTGCAAGAAGAGAATCCTGGAGTCTCATCAAGAATTTCTTTATCCCTTTAGATTTTAGCTCTTTAAAGTGGTGTCTTCTTGTGCCTCAGCAAGGTTGATCTGTGCACCCAGTTAATTTGTGTAAGATTTTCTTTTAATCTCATAGGTGAACGCAGGGCAAGCTTTAAATTAAAAATAATTTTTAAAAAAGCAGAAAAAAATTATCCCAAAAAATAAGTAGGGGCAGGAACATGTACAGTGTATATGTGGTGGCATCAGGGTAAGTGGGATGCAGGAACAGTTTTAAAGCTTGGCAGGATTGTACCTTGGCTCAAGTTGCCAGTGGTAGGGAATCTCCCAAAGCAGCTCCGGTTCAGCCCATTGCAGTCTGAGCTCTGAAGGGCTAAATCCCTACAAGTCCATATTGTGAAGGTCCTGCAGGTTTGCAGTCAGAGGATTTGGAATCAGCAGAGCCTAGAAACATTCTCTCTGCATTTCCCTGTGTCAGGCTGTGCTCACACTGAGCCTGAGAGCATCACCCAGATATTTGCCTGTGGCTGTTCAGAGCTGACAGCTTTGTCTGGCAGGTGACTTATGTGAGACCTGTTGGTCTTGACTGCGGGATGGGCTCGGACTAGAGGGTTTATTTAGTGTCAGTACCAGGTATTGAAGGTGGCAGAGTGGAGCTCTGAGACCCCTCATGCCCCATCAGTTCCTGTTCCATGGTAAGTTTCCTAAGCTTGGGTGGTTTGCTGCAGAAACTATGGAGGCAAATGGTGATTTAAGATCTTAAAATTTTTGTATATTTGAAGTGCAGAGAACAAGAGTCTCTGTGTACTCTGCTGAATCTGGACAATATTTTCTTTTTCTGCAGTGGGTGTCAACCTCTTCTATTTCTGCATAATTATCTACCTCTATGGAGACCTGGCAATCTATGCAGCAGCGGTGCCAGTGTCCCTAATGCAGGTGACCTGGTAAGTGTGCCTACTCCTGAGGGGCTGTGTGCTGCCAGGGGACAGGGCAGGCTTGGGCTTTGGTGGGGTGATAAGTCTGGCTGGGATCAGCTGTACTTTCCAAAGCATGGGGTGGAGAAATGACTCAAGGACAGCTCATCTCTTGTGGGTGGGTGGTGAAGTTGTTTTGTATTCCCCACCTGTGTGCCTGACTGCAAAGCAGCTGACCTGATTCCAGACAAGTGCTCAGGTGTGCAGTGTTTCCAGCACTTGCAGACATGAGACTTGTTGCTCCACAGTTTGATTGCAATACTCTGCAATGTGTTGCCTTCTCTCTCCCTTTGGGTAAGAGTTGAGGGGTGTGATGCTTACTAAGCCTGAGGCCAGTGGGTGTTGTTGGTACATGGACTTAGCTCTGCACTGGGAATGGTGCCTTTCTCAAAGAAACAGATAATAGATTGGGTTGATCAAATCTGGGCTGGATTTGTACTTCAGTCTTAAAAATGGAAAACCTCAGCGATCCATAAAAGATCTAAGCTCACCAGCTTGATGATTAAATGGCAAAACTTGCAAATAACTGCAGGCAATCCAAGAATTTGCCTTTAAACCTCTGGTTTAAGGCAGTGTAACTCAGCAACTTGCTGTGTTACGCTGTCCAGAAAATGTCAGGAAGTGAATGTGACCAGAGACAGAGAGGAGGATTGGCCTCCTCTCATTCTCCTTTCTTGCAGGAGAGGGGAAGACATCTGCTAGGAGTTAATTATTCTCTTTTGTTTCTCCCTCCTTTCCCAGCAGTGTCACTGGCAACCATTCTTGCAGTGTTGGAGACAGCACAAAGTACAATGACACGGACAAGTGCTGGGGGCCAATTCGAAGGATTGATGCTTACAGGCTGTATCTGGTGAGCTTCTGCAATTGGGATGACCCCTGTTGCCATTTAAATTCTGCTTCTAGTGCACAGGGAGGTTTTTTTTTCTTGTAGAAATTATGCAGTTCAAGTGAACAACAGAATATTAAACTTTTGGTTCTGTCTGACTTTTTTGCCAAAATACCCCCTCCCTATTCTTGGTGACATGGCTGTGTTTGAACTTATTGGCCATCAGAATGGTTCTTATGGTTTTGAGTTTGAGTCCTGTCCATCTTGGTGTGTAGTTTTATATTGCTTAAGCAGGTGAGATATTTTTGCCAAAGGTTTTTCTTCATTGTTTTTTTTTTTCAGTGGCTGGCTAATTAATATTTGCTCGGGGGTAATTGTTGTCAAGATACTGAAGTATATTAAACTCATTTGAGTGCTTTAGAATATAAAATACCCAGAGTTGGAAGGGACTCACAAGGATCATTGAGTCCATTCTTTATGTGAATAAAATTGTTAATGCTGCAGGAGAATCTGCTGCTTGAAAGATGATGGAAACAACCAGCTTAGACAACATCCAGTGGTATACACTGCCTTAGTAATAGCTTTGTCTAGTTCAGGATTGTCTATTGCATCTAATGCTGTGCTGGGGTTCTGCTCTGACCCCAGGGTTTTTCCCAGAGGATGATGAACATGGCTTCTGTAGAGCCTGGGGAGTGCTGAGCGCTCGGATTTGGAGACAGATGTCGGTAGGGCAGAATGGGAGGAGGGAAGGATGCTAGTGCTGCACAGTGTGGCTTTTGTTAAGGGTCTCAGTGAGAATTTTAAGTAAAAGGAATGAGGGTGGCTACGTGTGTGCAGAGAAATCCAGAGGTAATTTTAGAGTCAGTACATTTTGGAGATGCAGTGGATCACATCCAGTGTCACTGCAAAAGTAAGAGCTGGGCCTCAGAAATATTAGTGAGTGTCAAAAACTAGTTAATTATTTAAGAGAAATATTATTGCTTTATTAAATTCTGTCTTGGTCTGTTTCTTTAAAACTTCTGGAAGATTGAAGATTTCCTCCCTGAATTTCAATAACTCTCCCTGACCCAGCAGAAGGAGCTAGTCAGAAAAGGCAGACATGCATTAATTGCTGCCTGTGTCTCTCAGATATTGTGTCTATAATTCATGAAGATAATTGTTGTTAGGACTTGCAAAATTAAAAAAATTAAGACTCTGTAAGCATTAGACTTGAAGTCTGTGTACATAACTCTCAGAGGAGCTTTTCCCTCTGCTTGTCTTGTGGATCTGGAGAATAAATATCTGCAAAGTCTTGCTAGTGGTTAATCCTTTTCTGCTCAGTAACTGGGATGAGGCTTCAGTGTTGTTCTCTACGCCCTCTTAGGTGGAGGGTGGGATTGTTTGTGGGAGAACAGACCAGTCTGTAGTGGGTTACTGGTGGAGGTCAATTCTCACAATCACTATTTTCAGGATACTTCTGGGTGTCAGCATTTTCTCTAAGTTCTGCTTTTCTGTTAAAAGTCTGTAATGCTTCTTACTGGGTGAAGATGGGAGTAAACTGGAACTTGTTCTGCCTCCAGCTCTTCTGGTCCCACTCCCTGTTTGACCTGTGTGATTTTATTCTCCAGAAAACAGAGAGGATGGTGACCTCTTTAGAGAGGGGTAAGAGATATAATCATTTATAAAACACTCAGATCACAGTACTGACCCTGGCTTTGAGTTTGGGCTGCCTCCAAAGTGCCTATGCTGGTTAATATTTTCCCCACTGTCCTGTTTGTAGTGTGGACAACTAGTGACCAGTTGAGCTCTCAAACTTTCTGAGAGAAACCTGGGGAGGGGAAGGCAGGGCAAGGAAGTCATTTGACTTCAAGCAAAAAATAATTAGTAGTAAACCATTGTAATTATCTCTACACATTTTGTCCAAGCTTCTTGTGTACAGAAGTAGAGTTTTGAACATGCCAGGAAAGCTGAAACCTGCCTGTCTGAAGGGGAAAATGCAGCATGAAAGTGAGGAGGGGAGAGATGCATTAAGAGCACAGCTTCTCTTGGTCCCAGGAGATCATACCCATAGAGAACTATTCTCTTTTCTTAACTTTCTATTTTGAATTCTTGCCTGATGGAATAATTCAGGTTCCACGTTTCAGTGGACAAACAAGGTCTCTTTTTGCAAACAAGTTCCCCTGTGGCAAGGGGACAGATGGACACTGTGATCCCAAAAGAAAGCAGCTGAGTTTTGGATCAGCCCTTTTGTCCTAGATGCCTGCTTCTAGTTTTCCTACCTTATCTTAGTTGTGTATTTAGGTTTAAGTGATCCAGGAGGAAGATGTGTGGATGTAACTGAAATGTCTTGCTCGTTCCAGTGAAGCAGTTCTCTGGAAGTAGTGTTATATTTCATACTCTGTGCATGACCCTACAGAAAACCTATTTTGGAGGAGAATAATCTATTTGAGGTTTTCTGGACAAATGGTGCCAATGGGAGCTGCTTTGTGCCAAGTCCCACCAGTCTGCCAAAGACCCGTGCTGCCTTCCTCCTGTCAAATTTTTCTCTCCCAACACTGTGTCTTCTTTTCGACAAAAACCATTTCAAACATTGACTCTTCAAGCTGAGGATGAAGAGAGGAATAATGGCTGACGTAAAAATCCTTTTTCGTGCCTTATTGTCTAAAAAGGCTTCTGGAAGCTGTCTCTGCTCTGATTACTGTGAATGGAAGCTGAAAACTATGTACATAATGAGAATATTTAGACAGATTAAATTCTTCTCTTGAGACTTTCTTGTCTGTGCAGCATCTTTATTGCTGCTCCAAGATTTCACACCTAAGTGTGTCTGCAGAGTCTTCAGAGACCGCTAGGCCCCTATTAACCTTTGTCTGAACAAATGGTTGTCTCGCTTCTTGTTTATAAATTGCTTTGGAAAATAAAAACTTGCAAAACAAATAAGTGAAGGCAAGTGCAGGAAATATGTAAATAGACTTTTGCTCCCGTCCCATCACCTGCTGCTAATATTTACGCCCTTTTTGGGACCATAAAAGACCTGGGAGGTTTGAAGGGTGAGCCTTGCTGTGCTCTTCTACTCCTGTGAGGGCAAGACCCTGCAGGACAAATTTTCTCCCAAGAAAGGCGTGTGTTGGGCAGCCCAGCGACCTTGTTTGAGGCAGGCAGTGATCACAGTTAAAGCAGATCGATGGCTTTCTATCTTTGCTTCAGACCCATTACCACCCTGCCACGTCCTCAACAGCTGGAGTGACTCCCAAGTCCCTTGGCTGTCTCTGGCAGTGCTGAGGAGAGGGTCACGTTCTCTCAGTGCTGAATTCACACTTCAGTGCAGCTGCTTTATCATGCTCTCTGTAGGTTCCACTGGGCTGTGCTGGGGAGGTCGTGGGGACGGTGCAGCAGATTTAAGTTTCAGATCTTTCATTGTAACACTTCCTTCTTTCTGTCGAAGTCATGTAGGAATGTGATATGATAGTCCCTGTTTCTAGAAAGCAGGTACTGAGATAAATAAGAGATTAAATCCTAGGGATCAGCAGCTATTCAGTGTCTGATCCAAACTGTGCTCATGACCTGGCAAACAACGCTTCTGTTCTGCACCAGGGCAGCCGTGGAGGCTGAACCCTCTACTCTGTTCTCAGCCCTCCTCTTCTGGCAATCTGGGACACGGTGTCTTCCCATGATGGAAAGGAAATGGCTTAAATTCTCAAGGGGAGCCATGTGCCTTTCAGAGGAGGCACTGGCACAGGTACTCCTGGTAGCCTGGCTCGGTAGAGCGTCAAAGCCACCAGGTGCATCTGTTCTGTCTGAGTCTCTGTTGGTTTTTTTAGCTGCTTGGGAAAGGGACGCGGCATCCGCTTGTGCCGGTTCGCAGATGCTGCAGTATCGCAGGCGGCCCAGCGGGTGCAGGCCAGGCGAGGATGGGAGCGCAGATGGTTTAATGGAGATTATCCCAGTTGGAAACGTGCTTGTGCAGTGAATAAAATGAGCGGGCTCACAGGCGCTTACGGTCCCTCTTCAGGAGGGGACAATGTCACCCCGGCCCGGTGCTCTGATCGCTGACCAGAGCGGGGCCGGGCTGCAGCTGCGGGAGGCTGTGCAGGGGGAGGGGGTGCTCTGAGGACACACGTGCTGCTGTAACATTGCTGGGGACCGGCAGAACTTAATCAGCAAATGCAGAGGCTGAACCGATAAGGGTTGGTGTGGATCCCGTCGGCCTCAGCGCGGTGCTGCCTGCTCCGGCTGGGGTGCTGGGCTTTGTGTGCCTGCTCTACGTGCTCTGCTTCCCTCCACGGCATTTCTCCTTCCTGCCTCTGCCTGTGCCCTGCTCTGGGTAAAGGGAGCTTAGATTTTTATTGTCAAAATAGATCTTTCCAAATGCATTTACCTGCACTGGGGCAGTTTTATCAGCTTGTTTGGTACACGATGCTCACGATGCTCTTGTGGCCTCTCAGTCTCAGTCCATTGTTGGCTTCTGTTGGTTTCTCCTTTTTTTGGTTTTTTTTTTTTTTGTTTTGTTTTATATTTTGCCTCCCAGCAGTGATATGAGAGGAGCCCTCATGGCAGTACTTGAACATCCATGCTTGATCTAAGCTGTCTGTTTCCAACTGGGAGCTGGAGCAACAGAGCTGGAGCAGTGCTGCAAGCAGAGTGCTTCTTCCAAGGGCACCTGGGTTTTCTCCACCTTTCCCTTTGCAGCAAGTGCTTTTCCTCTGCCCTGCCTTCCTCAGCTGTGCCCTGCAGCAACACTCAGTAATAAATGGGTCACAGCTGCTGTCTCCTGGATATTTATTCTTACAGGTCTTAATGTCTAGAGACCTTGAGAACCTGTGGTGGGGAGGAAAGCTGCCTCAGAGGTAGGAGCTGGACCAGGGAGGGCTGATTTCACAGCACATCAATCTAAAAGGTTTGGAGCGCTTGTCCTGGGCTCCCAGAGTGAGCCAGTAAAAAGGAAGGAAAGCTGGTGGTAGTCTATCCTGATGGTGTGAAGTCATTATCTTGCTTAAAGAAATTGCTTAAACTGTAGCATTGTTGTGTTCTAGGTTACTTCAGCTTGC